AACACACAACCACAGGACAGAATAGTCTTCCAAGTCTACTCAGAGGTGAACTAATTTGAAAAGGAAAAGCAAATATCACCCATACTAAAAGATCTACACTTAGACCAAAGATTTGGTCTCAAGTACAATAGAATCACCACATTAATTATTTAGGTTTTGTTTATAAAAGAAAATTCATAGAAAAATGGAGATAAGTAGTTCTAGATGTGAAAAAAAAATCAGAAAATCTAAAAGATACCTCTCCCAGATGCTGTAATGTTTGACTCTTAAGGATGAAGTTCTGAATGTTAAATAGATCTTTCCTTAGACTACTATGTAAATTAACATTTCAGCTATTTTAAGTCCTTTGGTTTTCATTTCCCTCCAAGTAGGTGGACATGCAGAAAAAGATAATCTCCAAAATTATTTAAATAAATAGAATGTAAATGTATTGTGTTATATTTTCAAAATGAATATTACAAATTCTTTTCTGGATGTTTTCTGAGAAATATTTTAACATTATAGATGCTATGACTACTGATAATTTGAGGGTCACACACAAAAATCATATCTGCTACAATTGTAAAAAAAATAATAACTGGGTTGTGAACAAGGGCTATGCTCATTTTGTTGCACTTAGAATAATATAGCAATGCCTATAACAAACAAACAGTGGACAGGCTTGGTTCTGCTGGATTTAGATTAACCTTTACAAGCAATGCAGAATTAGATTATGAAAATAAATTGAAAATGGCATCTCCTTAGACTTACTTTGTACTCTGCATTTTCTTAAGCTTTTATGTGACTGTCAAATATTAGTTCAGGACTCCATTTGTATTTATAGCATTTTATCTTTTTTTTTTTTTTTAAGATAAGCACCAGTCTTCAGAGAAAGCTTCTGCCTACTGGATACAAAAAAAAAAAAAAAAAAAAAAAACTCTTTCCTGAATAGTTGATGTTTCAAATATGAGCACAGATACCAGATGGCAAAAGGGGTAAAAAGAATTCAAGTTGTTTCATTGTTCAATGATAAGGATTTTTCCATCCACTGGTTCAATACTAACTTGGTTTACATTCACTTAGAGCCAATACAATTAAAACTCTATTTGAAGTGAAATGTTTCAGAGAGAAAAAAATAAGTAAGTACTCCCTGAGAAATCTTTCCATGGGTTACACCCATCATGTAAATAGCTAAGCTTTTATGTGTATACAAATGTGCACACATGATAAAACTAAGATATCAAATACATTTTGAAAAGTTCCAATGTCACAGACTTAAGGAATTCTAATGAAGATTACTTCACTTCTGGTAATTGAAAAGTGAGTGGATGTCTGCTAGAATTTAGTCATGGTGACATAAATGTATCCAAAGTAATCATATACTGGAATGACCATCACAAAGGATGAAATGGGAGACCACTTGAGTGAACAATAAGGTGACAGTTGATAAGAAAATAAGTTTGAATGGATGATCCACTGAGATCAAAGGGCAAGTGATTCAGAGAACTAACAGTGACTAAAAATGACATCTCCGAGGACAGCGAAGGATTTATACTCTGAAATGGTTCAAAAGAGGAAAGAAGTGCCCAGAAACAATGAGAGTTCATGAGAATAAGACTCAAGCAAGTATCACAAACAAGGAGTTCCAATATCCCTCTGTCTAGTTGACCTACTGAATTAATGTCCACAGGACTGTTTCACAGAAAGAGCTCCTACTCAAAATTACATAGTCATAATATTTTTACAGAGTAATCTTCCCTTTTGTCCTGAAAACTTAAATTGGGCATTTCTTTTGTACTTAAAACTCCTCAGGAAATTAGCTGAGTCAATATGGTGGAATAAAGTAGGTCACTTTCCTGGCTGCTCCGTGGTATGAACCCAAGAAAGCAGAAAGGCAGCTTCTCAGCAAGGTGGATAAAAAAATTCGAGGGGGTGGGGGTTTACCAGGAATTAATACTGGATGGACATTCAAAGCAGATCAGTGACTCAGAAGGTTGGAGAGAATAAAATAAGGAAGAAATCCTCAGGGCCATGGTCACTTCCACTATTGCTGTACCGGTGGGAGCGATCCCCCCCTGGAGCAAAGTGAAGGAATAAGGGAATTAAAGGAACCTGCAATTTTAGGAGGCCTGGAGTGAGTCTGGGTATAGAGAGATCGGAGATCAAAGACACTGCCCCACTAAACTGAAAGCCGTGTTGCCCAATATCCTTGTGTAAAAAGAAGCCACATCTCTCCCAGCTGCCCAAGAAGGATAGAGGAAGGAACCAGTTTATAACCACAGAATTGGAGCCAGTACCTGGGGGAGAGTCTATTCCTGGCAAACTTGAGCTTGGCCCAGGCCTGGCAAATCCATACAGCATGACATAGTGTACCTAAGTGACCAGGAGAAAATCAAATGTGGAGAGAGGTTTACATAGGAGAATACAGATCCTGGAAACCCATCAACCTCCTCCTGCTCCCCCACAGCATGGCCACTTGTAGGGCCAGATGGTCTGGGAGAGGCAGGCCTGGCAGGAAATTCAAAAGGGTGGGGGGAGGAATGATTGAGTTTGGAGAGGGAACCCGCAAGACCAGAAAACATGGGGTCTGCAGATGATGGTGGGGGCTAAGGATTGGCTCCTCCAGTGCATGAGTGGAATCCAGGGGAGATCCCTGAGGTGTGGTCTCCCATTGAGGCCAGCAACTGGAGCTGTGATGATTTAAAATCTTCAGACCAAACACCATTCAACAACGAACCTGGAGCCTACCTAAGCCCAAACCATGCTTTCAGGAGCTCAGTCTATAGGATTTCTTCTTTCACTCCAGCAACTCTACATCAAGGGTGAAGCAGACATTACACACCATCCAATCCCACCTGATGCTGCTGAGAAGGGAATCTGAGAATTTTTTGAAATAATCCTAACTCTTCATCCAGATCTTTTTGTTGTTTATGATGTTAATCTTTGCCCGTTTAATTTTTTTTCTTTTTAATTTTCTCTGTTTAATTTTGACATCAATGGTTCATGGTCACATAAGTATTCAAATTTGTTTCTTTTTTCTCATTTCTATTAGTTTTTTGAAGGTAGTTATTTTTCATGGCTCAGTCTCTTGAGGGCTGGGATGTTTGATTAGTGTTTTTCAGTTTTGTTTTATATTATTTTATCTTTTAAAATTTTTATGTTATATATTTTTCTCTCCCTTATCTGTTTCTCTTGATTCTCTTTCTCTGTTTTCTTCTAATAGCCAATCTCAATTGTTCTCTCTTTCCCTCTTCCTTTAATTTTATACTCCTATTTTTTTCTCCTCTCTCATAATCATCACAGCCTACCTCACTTTCACTTCTGTTTCCTCTCTGTCCACCATTCATAATTGTAAATCCTTTTGCAAACTTACTGTTTTTAATGTGGGCAACAACTAATCACATAATTTCTCTTTATTGTGACAATTAACATTGTAGATGTCATAGAGGAAACTATTTAGTTTAATGCTTTATACTATTCACATTGGTGGTGGTTGGTGGTTGTTATTTGTCTAGTCCTAAACCATGAGCAACTGGAAGCCTTCAGGGACACTATAAGTCCACAGGGTAGAAACTCTACACTGCCTAAGATCCATATTGTTAGGTGGGTAGACACACACACACACACACAAAAA